AAAGTCTTGATTCTTTGAATATGTACGCAAATGCATAATTCATTGATTACATAAATGTCGTACTCGCACATAAATTCGATAGAGAAATACTTGAGCTTCCATTCTCTTATCTTGAAAAGTCTCGAATAACTACTAAGCATCAATTAATCTTGTTTGGTTTCAAGAATGTTTGAATACTAAGCATCAATCTTGTTTGGTTTCAAGAATGTTTGGTTCATAATTCATACGATAGTTTTACTAGATTTAGAAACATTTGTTAATGATGATAATACAATGGTTTTACAAAACTTTAAATTTTTGTTCCCAACTTTTTTCGTTCCTCATAATCTAGCCCAGAGAGCATCTACGTGAGAAAGTCTTAGATGTAACCATTTTGGTGGACATGAAATGATTCATTAAATTTGGACTAAACATGCTATAACATCAAGATGTCAAAACCACCAAGGATTTTGTCTTTCACATTCCCAAAGTTTGTGTGAACACAAATCTTTTGGGTTTCTTACCTAATTTTGGTTAAAGAACACGAAACCTTATAATAATATTCTAATTATCTACGTTGTACTATCTTATATTATTAACTAATAATCTTGGAACTTGAAGTGGAAATAAAGGTAAAGGCTAAAAAGAGGAGCCGCCATAAACTTTCCACGCGGGGAGAATATTTTGTTAACATTTCTTTTGAGTTTGAAATTAAAAACTAATTAATCCAAAAGAGAGAAATTATGTGGTCTTTTAGTCTAAAGCATTAGTGTCTTTTTTCTCTTTCAAGATTCATTAATTATCTCCTTGAAAAAACCAGAAGGCAAACTAAAGAAGAAGAAGATGCTCAAATTCGATGAACCACAATGCACAAACCCATCTTGTTTCTTCTGCAGCATGAAAGAGACGAACCCTTTTCGTCGAAGATCGAAACTCGCAGCAATTTTCAAAGAGATTCCTCGTACGGAGTCCAAAGACCATGTCTTGGTCTTGAGTGGCTTGTGGAACATAGCCATGTCCGAGCCTGACGATCCTGAGTTCCCATCACTCGGTTTGTTCGAGTGTATGTCAAATCTCATAGAGAAATCAATCAAGAACAGAGCTTGGCTTCTCAAAGATCAAAACATTTTCATTCCTTATTACGCAGCTCATATCATCGGTTCATATGTAATGAACAAGGAAGATTTGGCTGCAATAGCGGTTGATTCGAAGGTTTTTGTTGTCCCTTCTTTGCTGGAGCTTCTTAGAGGGAAAATCAGTTGGGTTGAGCAGAGAGCAGCGGCTCGAGCACTTGGCCACTTAGCTAGCCATGTGAAGAGCTTTGAAGCAGTTTCTTTGTTCGAAGAAGAAATCGTGAAGCTTTCGATGGAGATAGCTACTAATTGTTTGAAGAATGTTTACAAAAGCTTTCTTGGAGTTGAAGATAGCTTGAGGTTGAAGTATCAAAGCGATTTGTTGACTAGAGGGCTTGGTGGGTTAGAAAGAGAGAATTCAAAAGCAGAGGAATGGGGGATTCAGCTACAATGTTGGTCACTATATCTATTAAATTGTTTCGCATCGAGAGGTAAGTCTATTGATCGAATCTGCGAGGGAGGTTTCTTGAAGAAGGTGAGTGAAATGTGGGGCGGTTTAGTAAACCGGAAGTCACCAGGAGGAATTGGATTGATAAAGACTCTTTGTAAAACAGAGTTGGGAAGAAACAAAGTTAGTGAGGTTAGAGAAGTTATTGAGAGACTTTGCGACCTTTCGAGATCATCTGACGATTGGAAAGAAATGGCTTTAGATACCCTTTTGAGTCTTCTTAAAGACTCGAATGTTAGGTATCGAGTTATCGATGTTTTAGGGTTTCGTTTAGTGGATTTAGCAGAAGATAAAGTTGTTGGAGATAGAGTAGCTCAAATAGTTTTACAAGATTATCACAAGATTAAGTATAATGGCCTGAAGATGAACAACGAGGAAGCTCAGAGAGTTATAGAGAATCTATGGGAGATGAAAGTAGAGAGGAAGAAGAAAGAGAAGCTTATGAGTGAAACAGAGCTTGAAGAAAGAAGAAAAATGGTTAAATCTTTGAAGAAACAAGGAAAGAAGAAGTTTTTGAATGGTTTTGTTGAAGAATCAATGGAGATTTATACAATTGGGATTGATTTGTGTCCGTTGGATATGGTAAGAGATAGGGTTGTGTTGTATAGTAACAGAGCACAGTGTTACTTGTTGTTGAAGAAAGCTGAATTCGCTATTAGTGATGCAACTAGGGCTTTATGTTTATCTGCTGTAACGCATCCACACGGTAAGAGTTTGTGGAGAAGATCTCAAGCGTACGATTTAAAAGGATCGGCGAGAGAGAGTTTGATGGATTGTTTGGCGTTCGTTGATCAACGACTCAAGAGTTCGAATACAGAAATGGTACCATACTACGCGGCGCAGATGATAAGAAAGCAGATGAGCGCCACGTGGGTTTTCTCGGGGGTTGACTCGAAGACCGGGAAATCGGACGGTTGACAGATGAAGGAAGTTAAATACTGGAGCAGCCTTGGGGACTTGGAGATCTACACGGTATCGTTTTTGTTTTTACTAGCCGAATTGTATTCTTGAATTGATAAATCTGTTATGAACTCGAAGACTTGAAGACTTATTGTCCAAAAAAAAAAACTTAACCGTAACAATCATTAATAAAAACTTGTAACAATCATTAATAAAAACTTCAGTCATCTCCTATATATTATTTTTGAGAAGTGTCTTTTCAGAATTTGCTTACATGTCAATCTAACAACTCTTAACAAATAAATTATGACAAGTAATTTTGTTTTTTTTAAAAAAATACTCTATTCTTCTCTCTCTATTAGCCTTAACCACTCCTTAAAATAAATTTTGATTTCGCCTCTCTGATTGCTGGTTCGTCGGAGCTGTGAGAGACTTCGACTCCGTCATTTTTGAGGTCTACGACATTTCATCTTGGTAAAGCATCTCTCCTCAACAAGCTAGGTGGCCTTTGTATCTTCCCGGTGGTGGATCTCGGCAGCTTCGGACATTCCGGTAGTGACTGAGAGGTGTCTAATCAGACCCATTATGAACTTGTTAGTTAGGTCCATTTTTTTTATATTACAAAATAAAAAAAAATATTTATATTAATGGAATCAACATTCTCAAAAAAAAATTTGCCATGACAAAACATTATCGTGACATGACAAACACTTATGAAATGACAAATAATCTTTATTAAAAAATATATTTATGAAAACTAAATAAACTAAAAAAATAGTTAAAATATATTTATGAAAACTAAATAAACTAAACAAAGTCAACAAAAATTATAAAGGTATGAAATAATCTAAATCAACAAAAATTATTGAGGAGAAACTAAGTAAAAAAAATTCTATGTGTTATTCAATAAAGATTTTAAGGAACAATTCAATGAAATTAACAAATAAAAAATTTCAATTAATTTTATTTACCATGTTTGAAATTTCTACATATTTACGTTAATTTTTGATATGAGCTCACA